TTTGCTGCTAGAGAGAGCTTTGAATGAAAAAGCCATCTCCTCAGCTTCCTGCCACCTTAGTCACTGCTAACAACGTGGCCTTCCTTTGCTGTCCTCCTGCTAGCTCTTCTCACACGGAAACATCTGATTCCTTTCATCAGAGAGTAGCAAAATTCCGTCCTCCACCTTAGATTTCAGAGAACTTCACCATGAGTTTGCTAGAACCATGTTGCCCCAGCTCTTACATTCAAAGAGCCGTGGACCACCCACCCACCCCAGTTCCTAGAACCATTGACTCACTCCTGATTTTACAGGAAAACAAGATCTTAGAGTGAGGAAGTCTCGAAAGTCATCTAACAGCACTCACAGCTTAAAGTTTTCATTAAAATTTAAAAAAAATTGTAACATCATGTTATATCCTCAATATATAAAGATTTTATATATTACTGAGGATAGAAGTCAGATACTCAGCAAAGGATATGAATGTTTTGTCATAAAAGTAGGTCTATAAATAGCAGGTAAACAATTTCAAAAGGGAGTGATCCAAAAGGTAAGACAAAATACCAAAGAGATACCATTTTATAACTACCGAATTATCAAACACTGATTTAGTACCTGTTATTAAGTTGGTTGGAGTCCCAGGGTGGTGCGAAAGGTTAATGCGCTTTACTGCTAACCAAAAAGTTGGTGGTTCAAGTCCACCCAGAGGCACCTCGAAAGAAAAGCCTCACAGTCTCCTTCACAAAAATCAGCCATTGAAAACCTTATGGAGCACAGTTCTACTCTGACATGTGGGGTCGCTGTGAGTCTGAATCAACTCGAAGGCAACTGGATTAAGTTTGTTAAATAATGACATGTTTATATAATATGGGTTTTTTAAAAATTGTGTTTTCTATGACCATTTATGAGGAAAAAAAGGACTTATGACATTATTTAGCAAAATACAGTGACTAATTTTCTTTTTACTTAGCTTTATTTTTATAGTAGGGAAACGTTTTATACTAAACAATAAATGCTATTTTTAAAAATCAAGTTGGTGAAGCATTCCATATGTTTCTTTAAAATCAAAGCATTTCAGGAGACATTGAGTTTATGTTAATGATGCTGGAATAATTTGGAAAAGGATAGTAATAATGGTTCCACAACATGAACAAGTAATCAATGTCACTGAATTATACATGTAGAAATTGTGAATTGGGAAGGAAAAAAAAAAACAAAAAACTTGTTTCCAGACTGACTCTCCGAGGAGGAAAAATGGAAAAGGTGTCCTGTTGAGCCTGCTCTCCACATGTGCGTTTGCTTCCTCATCTGTGTAGTGAGATTGCTTTTGTTTACCTCAGAAGGTTACATGAGAGCCCTATAGAGAAGGGGGTTCCTGAAAGCACTTGGTACATTTCTGAGCATGAGGCAAGATGGCTGCCTCTATCCGGCACCATTCCAGCTGGGGTCTCCACCAGACCCCTTCTCATACCATACTCAGGGAACTCCTTCTTTTTCATCCTCATCCCAAGAACAGTCAAGTAGACGCTACATTTATCAAATACAACGCTTAGTGTGAGAGTAGGTTTGGTTTTCTCAAATTCATTGCCTACGCCCACGCCCTTCTAATCACTGTCATCGGTCTGCCCACTAAACTTCACTGGTGGACTTGAACAAGGGTGTGGATTATTGGGAAAAGAGACCATGTCCTGGAAGGGTGCCTTAACTTTGGAAAGATGTCAGTTTTCCAAAGTTACGTATAAGGACATTTTTTTTTTTTTGGTGGGGAGATAACTTTTATAAATGATTTGAAGTTTGGAAGGATAAGTAGAAAACATCTATTTAAAAAATGAGGGCGATAATAAAATACATTGTAAGACTGGTAATTAGAATGGGGTGTTAGAGACACGTTGTTGCGGTTAGGTGTTGTCGAGTGGATTTTGACTCATAGCGACCCCATGTGACAGAGTAGAATTGCTGGATAGTGTTTCGTAGGCTGTAATCTTTATGGGAGCAGATCTCTAGGGCTTCTCTCCCTCATAGTGGCTGGGTGAGTTCAAAGTGCCAACCTTTTGGTTAGCAGCCAAGCACTTAACCATTGTGCTACCAGGGCTCCTTTCGTTAAAGACATAGAACAGAATAAAAAAGCTCAGAAACAGACCCAGGCATTTGTAAGAATTTTTTCTCTGATGAAGTTGACATTTCAAATGAGTAGAGAAAAATTGTACTGTTTTGAGGAGTAAAATCCACACTTTCCCAAAAGAAGTTCCTGAGGATTAAAGAGTTAAGTGGAAAACCAATCTCTGAAAGAATTTGAAGAAAATATAGGTGGGTATTTACCTCACGCTATTTTTTTTTTTTTTTTAAGTTTTCTGCTATTGCTGCCAAGGAGTAATTGTTAGCTGTAAATTACAAAAAGTTGCATTTTCACTGAACCACCGACCGCAAACAAACTACCAGGCAGCTAATGGATAACCTGGCGGATTCCCGCAGACAGCATTTATCCCAGATGACGCTGGGGAAGGGGTGAGGCAGGGCTTGGCGGGGCAGAGGCGTTGTGGCTCTCTCCTGAGTGGGGCTGTGGCCTCAAACCTGGGCCTCCAGCTTTCTGCTGGGGTGGTGAGACCTAGATTACGTGATGTTTGGGGATGCTTGGAACTTGCAAACACATTAGACGTGTTTAGATGGATGGTTGGCGGAATTGCTCTAATTACAGAGAGGATTGTTTTCTACAGGCAGAATCATTTTCAAAAGCAATATTGTGGCGAGTCTACCCTCCACCCAAATTTTATTAAACCCAGGCGCGAATGGTTAAACGCTTTACTACTAAGCAAAAGGTTGGCGGTTCGAACCTACCCAAGAAAGGCCTGGTGATCTGCTTCCAAAAAAGCAGCTATTGGAAACCCTATGGAGCAGTTCTGCCGTGCACACATGGGGTCGCCATGAGTTGGAATTGACGACAGCTGGTTTTGGTTGGTTTGTGTGCGTGCCCCAGACTGAGTCCTCCTTGTTTCAGGATTCATAGAGCTTTCCTGGTTTACAGAACACAGCCCATTCCATCATTTCATCCTGCACAACCTGACAAGAAGGTGGGACAACAGCTGTCCCCACTTTTTAAAGGAAACTGTAACTCAGGGAGACCAAGCGTCTTGCCCACAGACATCCCACTTGCTAACACACATGGCAGCGCTTGAACCCAGTTCATCCCTTCCACCTTTGCTACGCAGTATGTGTTAGTGGGACCCACACCTTATCTAATTTCCTTCCATCCAAGTTGGAAGCTAGAGGTTCTGGTCCCTGTTTTATGGCAGAGGAAAAGGAAGAAGTGACTTCTTCAGGGTGGTGATGAGAAGGCTGTGATTATAACAGATTATAAGAGATAAAGAGGTGCTCTGTTTCCTGACCCTGAGGGGCCCACTCGTGTCTCAGAGAAGCAGCTGAATGGTAGACATGACTGAGGATTGAGTTTCATATTCTCAGTCTTGGCGGGGCAGGGCACTACGGTTGGGGGTGGTGTTTCTGCAGGAGGACCTGGGGCGTAGAGTCGGCGGAGCGGAGCACGGCCTGGGCCCAGGTAGACTCTCAGGCTTGGGCCTCCCTCCGCCTCACCTGCCTGTGCGAGCACGTGGCCAGGCACAGACATGCCGACTGCGTGAACAGGTTGGACACAGATTGTCTGGAAGGAGGCCAGACTTTGGAGAGCAACGTCTGTTCACCCCTGGGAGGCATTTGTTGGGCAGATGCACCAGGTAAATGTTGGAAAAGCAGCATTTAAAAAGAAAAGTAACAACAGACCCCCGTCGTGCAGGCCAGCTTCATCTCCTTTGGGGCCACCCAGGACCCTGAGGGGGCCAAGCACACACCCTGCACTCCTTCGCCCCTTTAGCGGTGTTCCAGATGAGGCTGTCTTCTTATTCGTTGCGTCAGGGACATTTATCGATCTTCTGCTCTATACAGGAGTCCCTGGGTGTCACAAACAGTTAAGCACTCGACTACTAACAGAAAGATTAGAGGTTCGAGTCCACATAGAGGTGCCTCAGAAAGCCTGGTGACTTACTTCTGAGAAATCAGCCATTGAAAACCCTATGGAGCACAGTTCTCCTCTGACACACAAGGTCGCCATGAGTTGGAATCGACTTGATGGCAGTTGTTTTGTTTTTGTTCTATATAACCTGCACTGGCCTCTTGGAGAGGGCATGGATATTTTAAATCACCTCACCTGCCCTCAACGAGCTTAATAAAGTAGGTGGATAGCAAGACATGGGCATCATAATATTAATAATCCACTTACCACCCCTAGTTGCTGCTGAGTCCATTCCGACTCATGGTGACCCCATATGTGTCAGAGTAGAACCGTGCTCCATAGGGTTTTCAGTGGCTGATTTTTTGGAAGTACATCTGCAGGCCTTTCTTTCGAGGTGACTCTGGAGGGATTCGAACCTCCAACCTTTTGGTTAGCATACACTACTGCTCTGCACTGCTCCAGATGCCTCTGTTTTGGTGTGTGGTGCATTTTTTATAGTTAATGGATCACTATTGATAAGATTGTTACTGACTAAACTTCGTTAAGAGTTCACTCTTTGTGTTGTATAGTTCTCTGGTTCTTGCCAAAGGCATAATGTCCTGTATGCACCATAACAGTGTCCTACAGAACAGTTTCCCTGCCCTAAAAATGCCCTGTGCTCAGTCTATTCATCCCTCCTCCCTTCCCTTTTTCCCTGTCTATATTTTTGTGCAAAATGCTTTTGATACTTCATCTCATGCCGTGCTCACAGCCACCGTGAAGGTAGACATTGTTCCCGATTTTAGAGAAGAGGAAATGGAGGCTCAGAGAGTTATCATGTGCCCAATAAGAGGAATCAAATCTAAGTCGGGTTTTTAAGTCTACATCTGTACCATCTCAGCGGCTAAATGACTCTCGGCTGGGGCAGCTGGGAAGGCTTTAAGAAGGTTGGCTGACTGAAGGGTGTGGGTGACGGGTTGGAACTCCATGTCTCTGGTTATGGATTTGGCCTCTAACCTCTACCTTCCTGTCTCCACAGAGTGCAGCAGCCGCCCCGAGTCCCGTGCTTGGCAACATTCCCCCCAACGATGGGATGCCAGGAGGCCCCATCCCGCCGGGTTTCTTTCAGGTACGTGCTGGCCCAGTCCTGTGCTTGTCCTTTTACTCTGGGCAGGCCGGAGGGAGGGAGGGAGAAGTAGCTCAGTTTGCCGTGGTCTAAATACAGTTGCTTTATGCCGATTCAGACCCTTCCCTTCCCATCCCTCTCTCCACCCCTTCCAAAAACGAGGGCCGGGAAGAAGAGATGGGAAAGCCGCTTTCCTGCATGTGTGGCGTCTTGTCTGCTGGAGTTTGTTTTCTTCAAGCTAGCTTCATCACAACACAGTCTGGGGGAGGCTAAGGGGCTGTTTCCAAGTCCGTGTGGAGCTTTCTTGTAACAAAAGGCATTTTTTTTTAACAAGAAAACTGTTCTTTGTTTCTGTTTTGTTGCTGCTGTCATTGTCATTGTTTACTTTGCCTGTCCAAACTACAAACCTTAGGCGTAATCTAGAAAAACAAAAAACCCACCATCCTGGCAGGTCTTGAAATCCTTTCCCTCTGGTTAACCACTTGATTCTTTCCGAGTGTGATCACAGACAGCGTCCCCCAAGCATCTGTGCCGCTCTCTGCCCACCACAGGCAAACAGATCCCACGTGGCTCAAGAGCCTGGCCTTCTGCAAAAGACACCTTGTCGGGTGTCTCGGGGATGCGTGTGAAATTGGGTACTCTTTGTTTTGTCAGGGTTGAGTGCAGCTGCCACCTCCTCCCCACCTCCTCCTCTGCCTCTGCCTCCCCCTCCTGGGGGCTCATTCGATGTAAGCCAGATCAAGACTGAGAAATGCCATCTTGGAGAAGTATGAATGTGCAAGCTGTAAGGAATTTTTATGAGGAAACTCTTGATGCTAACATGTCTCATTCTTCAAGCCTGTCCATGGCTGAGAATCCACCTGAGTTCCCCACACCTTTTGGAAGGTTGGCATTTCGAGATAAAAAGAATATGGAAAGAGCTGTTGTGCAGAAAAGCAGGTGAACGTTTTTGTTTTTTCTGTGAAGCCCAAGAATTCAGAACTAGGACTATTGGAGCAAAGTCTGAGGGGACTTTTTGCTCAGTGTGAGCTAGAATTAACACCTGTGTGTGTCCAGCAGTAAGGCAGGTGTCTTGGCAGGTTTGGGGCTCCCTGGCATTGGAGGTATTTGAGCTACAATGTGATAGGCACCTCTTGGGGTTTCTACCTAGGTGTGAGATGACCTGGAAGAGGCTTCTGCTTTGCATGAGTTCACATTTTGTTTGATATTAGTTCCCAGAGAGGGTTAGGACATGCCGCACGCCAGCCAAGAGAGACTCAGGGAAATTTGGGGTGCTCCCATAAAACAAGAGGCGGCAGGTCGCCTAACAGGATGGCGGTGGGAGAAATGTGAGGGATGCAGGCAGGGATGGCGATTCAGGGCGTTGATGGTCACACGTTTTGTAGACATTCCTAGCGTGTTGCTGATACTGGGGCCCTCTCCAAGAGTGGAGGTGGGTGCAACCTCAGAAACGGGTGTGAGGCTCCAGATCAGACCAGGTTTGCCTGGGTCTCAGCTTGGAATAAGGCCACAGGTATCAGGAAGAGGGACCAGCCTTCCACGAGAGAGTAAGACCTTTAAATCCCTGGAAACTCATGGACCCGGAAAGGGAGAAGCTGGGCAGCCTATCACCCTTCCCCCAGAGGGGAGTCCAAGGGACTGCTGTCTGAGAGCATCACCCATGCCAAGCGGTAGCCGTCTTCCAGGCTGCTGCAGATGGGAGAGTTCTTTCCCAGGCTTAAGTATCCTCACCCCTGAGTCCATGGGCACCCTTTATAGTATGCAGGTGGGCCCCACCTGTATGCTTTTTTATTGAGGCTGTATGCATTTTTATCGAGGCTGCTGGCAAATACGGTGGACAATCGCCAGTTGTGTTTTTTTAAAATAGGCGGTTGACTTCTACTTTGTCCTGAGTCTAGGACAAGGCACGGGTCGACCTGAGATGTGGGTAGTTCCCAACTTCCTGCTTTGGTGTAATTGTCCATGGTTAAGGCCTAATTCCAGACATACTTCTTGGGCCCTCCCATGTGACGTTCCAGGGTGTGTGGTCAGAAAGCCCAGAGTAATTTCTGTGGTTACTTAGTCACCACCAGCCACCATCAAACGAAGGTAACTTTTGGACCCGTTAGACTTGAGGTCATCTCTGATCCCATCCAGAGCAGGCCATTAAGAGCCAGCTGGGCCATCCAGAAGGGGCTGTATGCCCTGGGCTATGCTTCCTTGGTTACTTTGAGCCACCTTTTCCCTGTTTCTGGACATCATTTCCCCCATCAGTCTGATGAAGGGGAATGGGCAGGTCAGGCACTCAACCTGTTCCTTCCCAGCTGTGATGTGGAACCACTCAGGTTGGGTCATTGCTGAGAGGAAAGTATCTCACTGGAAGGGGGTAGTGGCTGCCCATTTCCGGAGCAGGCCAGCTCACAATAGGAATATTAGCTGTTGATTGCCAACCCTGCCCTTCGCTCATCTTGCAGGCGGCCACTCTGATATTAGGAGGGAAATAGAGATGGTATCAGGGCTTTATCTGTTGCCAATAATTGCACTTCTTCCCCTCTTTGGATGTGGTGTGAGCAAACAGCTCTCCCGCCCAAAGTTATCAACTGAGGAGCTTTGCACCGAGGATTCAGCCTGGAGTGGCTGGTCCAGCTTTGGCTTGACCCTGTCCCAAGGTGGCTGTTCCAGTTCTAAATTTAGAAGCTGCAGGCTTCCAGGTTGGGTAGGAGGGAGCAGCTGGCCACCACCATCTGAAACCCCCAGGAAGCAACACACACGACTTCTTCGTCTGGCCTCTGACTGCCAGTCTGGGAGGCCACTCCTGGGGTCAGAAGGTTCAGCCATCCATCCACTCAGCTCTGACTGTTTGGTTTTTCTTATTTGGTGTCTGTGTTGCCGAGGTGGACCATGCATGTCTGGTCCTGTGGCAGGAGATGGGTCTAGTAGCAAGGGCTGCTAGGGAGGTGACTTGGGAACTGGGATGACCACACCTCGCTATTAGGGAATATTGTGGGGTTCTCGGGGTCCTGGTAGAATTTAGCAAGTGCATTTTAATTTTGTGTGCTCCTTGTAAAGGATTGCCCTAATCTCAGCATCCCTAGATCCTGACAGGTACTGAGGACCCCGTAAATGTTTGAACTGAGTTTATTTGTGTTGCTCACGTTACCAGGAAAAGGAGGCTTACGAGTCCCAAAGCGCTCTAGATCCGGCATTCTGGCTAGGAACGGGTCTCACAGGAAGTAGCTTAGAGGGTACAGGGGTGGTGTTCAGGATTGGGAACAGATGCCTATTCCAGTTCCCCTCTTGGCTGCTCACTTGCTGAATGACCTTGGGCAAGTTGCTCCCCATCTCTGGGCCCCAGTTTCATCCCCAGAAGATAGAGAAGGCTGGACCAGATGGCCTCTGAGGGCCATTCCAACCTTGATTTTCTGCTTTGAATTCAGATGGATTTTACGTAATCAAGCAGTGGCATTTTTTTCCACACAGCTGAACTCAGTTGGGCTGCACATCTGGCAAACCCAGCTTGTCTTGGCCAGGCCCACTGGTCTGGGTGGGTCTCCAGCTCCTTGGGCCTAAGGTGGGCTGGGGCGGGGGGGGGGTTCCATCCAGTGAGGATTTCTAGGTTCAGAGCTAGGGAATTGTGGGAAGGCAGGAGTTCCAGAGAACAGAGCATTGGGTACAGGCTGTTTTTGTTCTTGTTTTGTTTTTAAATTCCAATAATTGTTTTCAGTTATGTAGTGTTTTCAAACATGCAGCCTACTTTCATTTTGCTCACAATGTCTGCAGAGGAGGTATAACAGATTGGAAATGTGAGACTTAGGCGAATGACCTGCCCAGAGTTACCGACGGAGGGCTGTAGTCGGAGTCTGAACCCAGGCTTCCTGCTTCCTGATCTAGTATTCTTCCATAGCAGCCAGAACTCCAAGTGTAGATACACATCTGGTTGGCTAGAAGAAGAGAGACTAGAGAAGAAGAGAAAAGGAGGGAGCTGTAGTGGAGGGAGAGATAGAAACCATAGCCATCTTCTTTCAAAAATAGCAATTAAGTTTCCATCAGACACTAGGCTGTGATTGGTTTCTGCTCAGAGTACTGTGTGGAGGGTGACTCTGAAACTTTGTTTAGGCTGAACAGATGCTGATTGACGATGTCAACCAACATGGACCTGAAAATGGAAGTACATGTACTTTGCATGTGCCATCTCTGATCTAGTCAAGACTCCTCATTTATAGACTTGGACATGGAGGCCAGAAGAGAGAAGGGGCTGGGATTAGTGACAGTCATTGGCTACCTCTGATGTGCAAGGCGTGGGGCTTGGCTCTAGGCTAGAACTGCATTAACCATACTCTGCCTGTAGGAGCACCCAGCCTACCAGAGAGACCAACAGGTAAACCCATGCCCTGAAGCAGGACAGAGGAGAGGCTTACCAAGACAGGAAATCAGGAAGGGCTTCTGGGAGGCAGTGCAGTCCTGGCTGAGACGGTGTCTGGAATGGAGTGGGCAACAAGGGCTTGGTGGGAGACGAGGCTGCAGAGGTTGTGGAGCAGAGCAGGCATTGACTGGCCCGGTTGGAGAGTGTGGGTTCCATCCAGTGGACAGTGGGAAACTGCTAGAGTACCCGGGGCTGGATAATGCCTTGGCTAGATCTGTGTTCTGGAACAGTTACTCTGCAACTCCTCCATCAACTCTATGGGGGCAGGGACGGGTGCTGCAGTTGGTGCTCAGGAAGCAGCTGACCTCATTGATGAGTGGACACTGGCATTGCAGAAGCCCAGCAGCAGTCGTAGTGCTAAAGACTGTGCCTTCTTTGGAAAAGGCAGTCCTGGAGCGGGAGGTCCCAGCTTCCTTTGCCAAAACTGCAGCCCAACCTGTTGTGGGTGTCCCAGACACTTTCTTCCATTGGCGGGGGGAGGATGGTAGGGATTAATGTGTCTCCCTACCCCGTTCCAGTGAGTCCTCATTCCTGCTGGCCCAGCCTACCCTCCTTGGAAAGAGGCTGAGGTCTTGCCCCAGAGAACCCTCCCTGGCGGTTC